TGGTGGTTCAAACCCACCAGCTGCTCCATGAATGAGAGAGAGATGAGGCAGTCTGCCTCCATAAAGGTTTACAGCCTCGGAAACCCTGTGGGGCAGTTCTAATCTGTCCTTTAGGGGTGCTGTGAGTCAAAATTGACTCGATGGCCATGGGCTTTGGTTCATACCCATTAGGACGGTTACATAAAAAAACAAAACCAGAAAAGAACAAGTGTTGGTGAGGAGATTGAGATTGGACCCCTCCTTGATGGGGAGGGCCTGTAAGATGGTGGAGCTGCTCTGGAAAACAGCCTGGTGGGTCCTCAAGAGGTGAAACACAGAGTAACCATGGAACCCAGCCATTGCACTCCCAGGTACACACCTAAGATGAATGAAAACAAATGTCCACACAGAAACCTACGCATGGGCATTTACAGTAGCATCACCCTGACAGCTAGAAGTCATGCTTTTCTCCTGCTCTGTGCTGGCTCTGACTGGCCAGCTGGTGCCTGCGTAACACATTACCACACACTTAGCGGACTGGCTGTGTGCAGGGCAGGGCAGGAGCCATTCTGAGCAGCACGAGCAGTGCCTGCCCAGTGCCCCTCCCAGGATAGCCGGGTTGAGGGCACATCCGTGAGGTAGGCCATGGGGAGGCTCCCATGCATATCAGCACCCAGACATCTGGAGGTCAGGCTGTCCTCACCCACTCTACAGACCAGGAAAAGGCAGTCCGGTAACTTCCAAAGTGGCGTGGTCGTGAGGGGCAGCATCAGGGTATGAATGTCGGTCCCCAGCCCAGTGGCTTCTCTGTCCTCAGCAGGCATCCCCGGCTGAGGATGAGGGTCCCTGTCTCCAGACAGTCCCGACACTCACCAGTTTCACGCAGATGATGAAGGGCGGCTGGGCGGTGCGAAAGTGCAGGATCGGAACCTGGGGCTTGGGCCTTTCCTACAGGAAATGCAGGACCTCAGCTCTGAGCTATGTATGTTGGTCATAGAGAGAAGCAGCTGCCCAGGCCTTCTTCCTGGTGACAGTGACCCATGGGCAACCCTGGGGCCCAGTGTCCACTGCTAACAACCATAGATAGCTCTGGTGACAGGAGCTCGCGGCTGATGCATGAGGCACGCACCATGGTCACAAGCCTTTGGGAGAAGATGGGCTAGGGCCCAGAACTCAGGACTGGGATCAGAAACCAGGACTAGAACCAGAGCCCCGGACTAGGACCTAGAACTCTGGATCTAGAACCCAGGACCCAGGACTCAGGACCCAGGTCTGGGACCTAGAACTCAAAACCCAGGATCAGGACTTGGCTTCCATCTATCTCTCCACCCCCACTACCCTTACAACCACCTCAGGCCTTTGGGCACGGGCTTCTCCCCTGAATGGAACGTGGCCCTGGAGGAAGGGGGGAGGCTGGTGGCGGCAGACACAAGTCCCTGCCCCAGGTGCCATCAGAGTTTTCTGATATGATGGGCAACAGGTACGCCCCCTGCCTCCAGGCCACTGTGCCACCTGACTCCCATCCTCACCCAGCCCATGATGTGCAAACCAGATGCCCGTCATGACCCAGGGCACCCTCCTGCTGTGTAGGCCCTGCCTGCCCTCCACAACCACCTGCATCTCTGGGGGGCAGCTGGCACCAAAGCCTTCTGGGGAGGGGGACAGGTCTCTTGGGGTCCCTGCTGCCCCGAGACTGCCCAGGAGCCTGGGGTTGTACCTTTTGGGCATGGGGGCCCAAGATGGGCAAGGCCAAGGTGGGCCTTCTGGGTGGCAGTTCCCCAGGGTAGGCTGGGGCAGGTGTCCCATTCAGGAGGCAGGGAGTGTGTGGGGACCCCCAAAGTGGTAAGGCCAGGTCACATCCTATAAGGCACCCTGCTGAGAGCTCCTAAATGTCCCCCAATCCTGCCCCCCAGGGGAGGGAGGAGCCCCCACATACCTGGGAATCCTCATAGCAGTAGAAACCCTTTTTGATCTTGCGTTCATCAACGTCACAAAATGCTACAACCTAGGAAAAGGGGATACTCACAGCCAAAGGTCTGGGTTCAACCTCTCCCTGGGGAGGGGTCAGGCTGAGCCCTCCACAGTCTCCCTGCACCCAGGGATAGGTACAGCCACCAGGCAGGCCAGGCAGCAAGTACACAGTCAGTGCCTCCTGTGTGTCTGCAGTGACCGATGGCCAATGCCAAGGATGCTTGGTCAGTTGGGGACACTGCAGGAGGTGATCTGAGTAAGGGCCACAGATGACTCCCACTTTCCAATCCCCCCGACTTGGAGAGGGTGGTGGTAGAAGGAAGGGTCGATGGGGACTGCAGAGGACAGGGGCCCACCTTCTGCTGGCTGGCAGCCCCTAGGCTACGGTAGAGCCGCCGGCCCTGCTTGCCCGCGTTCCAGATGGTGAAGGCTGTCCAGTGCGGGAGCACCCTTTCCTCCAGAAAGCGCACACGAAGGGTCCAGATGGTGTCTCTGTGGGCAGGAGAGAGAGCAAGTGATGCAGGCAGGTGGGAACTCCAGCTAGCCTTCTGTAACCCCCACCCCCTATGACTCAGCATGATCTCACCCCACACTGGTTAGGCACCCAGAGATTGTGTGAATGAATGAATGAAAGAACAAATGGATGAGTGAATGAACAGATGAGTGGATGAATGAATGAATAAGCAGATGAGTGGGTGAACAAATGGAAGAGTGAATGAATGAACAGATGAGTGGATGAACAAATGGGTGAGTGAATGAATGAATGAAAAGGTGAGTGGTGAACAAATGGATGAGTGAATGAATGAACAGAAGAGTGGATGAATGAATAGATGAACAGATGAATGAACTAGCAGATGAGTGAATGAACAGATGAATGGATGACTGAACAAACAGATGAGTGAATGAACAAATGAATGAATGAATGAACAGATGAGTGCATGAACAAACAAGCAGATGAGTGAATGAACAAAGGGATGAGTGAATGAAGGAAAGAAATGATGAGTGGATGACCAAAGGATGAGTGAATGAATGAAAGAGCAGATGAGTAGATGAATGAACAAGCAGATGAATGAATGAACAAGCAGATGAGTGGATGAACAAGCAGATGAATGGATAAGTGAATGAATGAGTGAACAGATGAATAGATGAATGAATGAACAAGCAGATAAGTGAATGAACAAATGGGTGAGTGAATGAAAGAGTGAACAGATAAGTGGATGAATGAATAGATGAACAAGCAGATGAGCTGATGAATGAGCAAATGAACAGATGACGAATGAAATGAGTGAATGAACAAATGAGTGAATGAACGAATGGCAGATGGACAAGTGAACACCCTCAGACACTCCCTTCCATCTATTCCAAGTTCTCTGAAACCCCGTTTCCTCTCTGAATCCCTCTCCCTTCAGACTTTGCCTCTTGCTCAGTGACAACCTCTTGGTTGTGGTCAAGGTACCTGAAGAGTCTAGTGTCCCGTGTCAGGTCAGGCTTGACAAGGGTGGCAGGGGAAGGTGGGGGCAGCAGGGCTCAGTCCCAAAGAACCTTGACTCTGGGAAAACTGCAAATCTGAGGTGCTCTCACCCCATGCTGTCAGGACAGGGGTGAGGCTGTCCTGGGACCCAGCCTATCTCCCCCATTTTTCTTCTGGAGTTTACCATCCATTATGTATTTCATTGTACATTCTCACCTGTATTCTGGATTGTGCTGCGTGTTGTGCGTGTTCTGGACTTTGCCGTGTGTTCTGTGTGTTTGGGACTTTGCTGCATGTTCTGGTTTTCAGAGTGTGGTCTATATTTTGCCCCACATTCCGGGTTTCTTCATGTGTTCTGGACTTTGCTGTGTTCTGTGTGTTCTGGACTGCACCGCGTGTTCTGAGTTTCAGACTTTGCTGTGTGTTCTGCGTTTCACAATGTGGTCTGTATTCTGCCCCGCGTCCCGAGTTTCTTCATGTGTTCTGGACTTTGCTGTGTGTTCTGCGTGCTCTGGACTGCGCTGCGTGCTCTGGACTGCGCCACGTGTTCTAGACTGCACCACGTGTGTGCGCTCTGGACTGTGCCACGCGTTCTAGACTGCACCACGTGCGCGCGCTCTGGACTGCCGCGCGTTCTAGACCGCACCACGTGTGTGTGCTCTGGACTGTGCCACGTGTTCTAGACTGCACCACGTGTGTGCGCTCTGGACTGTGCCGCGTGTTCTAGACTGCACCACGTGTGTGCGCTCTGGACTGTGCTGCGTGTTCTAGACTGCACCACGTGTGTGTGCTCTGGACTGTGCTGCATGTCCTGTGTGTTCTGGACTTTGCTGTGTGCTGTACGTGTTTTGGACTTTGTTGCGTGTTCTGGATTTCACAGTGTGGTCTGTATTCTGCCCCACATTCCGGTTTCTTCATGTGTTCTGGACTTTGCCACGTGTTCTGAGTTTCACAGTGTGGTCTGGACTCTGCTGTGTGTTCTGGATGCCCACAGACATCTCTAAGGAATGAGGATACAATGTCACCGACCACTCCAGTGCTCCAGTTTGGGTTGGGCTGAGGCTCCTGGGTGGCAAGGAGACCTACAGTCACACAGCACGGTGACACGTTTCTGGACAAAGCACAGGGCTAGGTGGCAGCATGTCTGTCA